GATATAAGACTAATCGCATTTGAGGTATCTGATAGAAAAGATGAAGAGTTAATTGAGAAGTGTTGATTAATATCGTTAAGTGAAAAGGATTGTGGGAGAGTGTCATTTTTAGACTTAAGGAGACCAATTGACCTAAGGAATTTCCACGTATCTGCTGGAGAAGACTGAAGGATATTATTATGAAAATAGCGGCGTTTGGCAGCTCTCACCATCCGGTTACAACGGTTACGCACAGTCTTAAAGTTAGCCCAATTGTCCCTGGTCCTATGTCTTTTGAATTTGAGAAAAGCTCTATCACGTCTTCGCATCGCGATTACGTACCAAAGGAGTTATCCAGGGAGCTGGAGGTCTTTTAATTTTCACTGTACGCAGTGGTGCATGATCATCAAACAGATTCAAAACTAACCCATTGAAATTTTTTATCATAACTTCTATATCACGTGCCGAGAGGACATCAGTCCATTCCATGACAGACGCATCCTGAAACAGCTTCTGTTGGTCTATACGTGCAAAGTTTCGCATGTTTACCAGTACGGGATTACGTTTAGGAGTCTTTATTCTATAGGAGAGATAAATGAGGTCGTGTCGGGAAAAGCCAGGAGCAGGGATCTGACCATGATGGGAGACATTATTTGGAGAGGATACTAGGATATGATCAATCCACGAGACATTTGTGTCAATATTATGATGCGTAGCTTCAAACTCAAGAAGAGAGAGATTATATGACTTAATGGTTGATCGAAAAGACCGAGAGGCGACACTGTCTTTTAAAAGATCAGTGTTGAAATCACCCATGATTATGTGATGTGAGTAATCAGCTGCCAACGTGTCAAACACGGAAACGAGAGAAGAGATATAATCGACAGCAGGTGGGCAGTATACGACTCCAAGAACTGCCTTACAACCGGATAATGATACCTCAAGAATAAGACATTCGATGTTGTTCACGTGCTGATTAGAATCAACTAAGATTTGGTGTGGAATGCCAGTGCGCAGATAGATGGCTACACCGCCACCACGCTTGACTAATCTGTCGTTACGCACGAGATCGTAACCGGGCAAAGCATAAGTGAGAGAGTCATGACATGGTTTAAACCAGCTTTCTGAAATAAGAATGGCGTCAGTTATGTCAGCAGTAAAACCATCCAGTAGCCTAACGCCTAACACCTCAGCTTCAGCCTGCAAACCATCCAGAGAATGGAACGATGATTCAGAACTGTTACATAACTGAAAATCTATTTCCTCAGAATCCAACATTAACTAAAGTATAAATAAATAAATATATATATATATATATAAATATATCTAAAATAAAATATAAATAAACAAAAAATATGAATAGAATACTTAATTTCTTACTAAAAGAGTATTTAAAACAAGAAAGTTCCCAACCCGCCGGTCAACTGTTACAATTTAGTAAAAAAACGTTACACAATATAGTTTGAACAAATTTTGACAAATAAAGAAGCATTTAAAATAAGCAGATAAAAACAGAAGTTAATAAAAAAATTTAAAAAATTAACAACTTATAGAACAGCATCGACTACTAACAGTGCGGGAGCAAAATAGTTAAAAATGTACCATAACTAGAGGAGTTTCCAAGATTCATAAGTAATAACTAAAAAGAATTGTCAAAGTTAAGGCTGAATGAATTGCCTCCCTTTGTGTTACTTGAGCAGAAGTTTATCTACTACTGTCAATGTCAGCACTGTCAGTGTCTTTGCCTCTCCAAACAAAAACAAGTCAAATTAACCTAAAGTATGTGAAATATCAGTGAATTATAACAAAGTTTAACATTTATCTACAAATTGAGATGAATAAAAATCAATACCCGGCTAAATTACGAATAAATATTACAATCAAACACAACAATATGAACTTAAGTTGGACGATTTAAAGAATCAAAATAAAAAGTGAACAGTGTCAGAACATTACTTCTTTACCGGGCGCTTCGATCTAACATTAGACGACTTGACCTTTCGATCTTCTGCACCCAATTAAGAACCGGCCGCCGTCGTTGTCTCAGCATATGGCACTGTTGGATTCTGTTCCACTACTTTAACCAACTCCTGCTCGTCTCTAACACGGCAAAGTTTGCCAGTGGACAGCTTAATGACAATGTTACCGTTACTTGTCCACACATTACGGATTCCAAAGTGCTTACGAGCTGCTGTAAACGTCTCCTGACGAAGTCGAGTTAAGAACTCTGAGACTACTATGGTTGATCCCTTCAGTTTGGTTTTGTTGGTCCAGATAACAGATTTAGTGGCGAGCTCAGCAAAGCGAACGAGAATAGGTCTTGGTCGCTCCAGTGTCCTTGCACCAAGCCTATGACAGACAGTGATACTTGACCTCATAATGTTGTTGAGACCAAGTTTGTTATGGCAGATATCGATGACAGCCCCTGGCAAATCTTCACCGTCCCTTTCTTCTACTCCACCAATGAGAAGCGCTTTATTACGGTGTCTAGCTTCAATGTCATCAATATTGCGGATCAAGACCCCTATTTGTTGACGGAGTAATGCCAGTATACCTCCAACCATGTCCTTAAACTGACAATAGTCTGCACTCAGCACCTTAAGTTCAATTGCCGGTGAAGAAGACAAAGAAGAAACCTTTAAATGAGCCTCAAAGTCAGTCATCCGCTGCATGAGTGTCTCCTCAATGGCTTTTTGGGTCTCAAGGACTGTTGTAATGTTAGCCATGGTTAACAGAAAGGCTAGTGCTAGTGAGTGAATTCCACTATTGTGCGTTGTGTGATGTTGAAAATAGTCACAGTTGACACAAACGGGCTGGTATGCTCAAGCTTCTTCTACAGGCATGTAAGAATGATGCCCACACAGTATGTTATTAAATGAACTTTAACACTACTTATGCACTGTAGATAAAGTGATTATTTATAATAAAATAATATTTATTAAAATGCTTTTGCTCAGAAGAAGTCTTAACTTTTTAACACCTACCGCTTTTTATTCTATTTAATTTGCGTTTACTATTAGTAGGAATATTGTTTGATGATTTGTTATTTCTACTAACTTGCTAATTGTGACTTATAATTAGCTTTTTGTTGTTATTAAGTAAATTATTTTTTCATTGTTTGACTGTAGTCTTTCAACAATTAAATAAATAAAGATTGTGTTAAAAATTGACTTATATAATTTAGTTTTCAAAATTTAAACGATGTTTAGAATTTATCCAATAAATCCGTATTCT